AGATAGATAGATAGATAGATAGATAGATAGATAGATAGATAGATAGAATTCTTTATTGGCCAAGTGTGATTGGATACAAAAGAAATTTGTCTTGGTGCAAATGCCCTCAGTGTACATAAAAGAAAAGATACATTTGTCAAGAGCCAAGAATCATAAGGTACAACACTTAATAATAGTCATAGGGTACAATAAGCAATCGAATCATACTAGGAAATAGTCAGTATAAATCATAAGGATACAAGTGACAAAGTTAGTCATATAGTCACAAGTGGGAGAGGATGGGTGATAAGGAGTGATGAGAAGATTAACAGTAATAGTAGTGCAGACTTCGTAAATAGTTGGACAGTGTTGAGGGAATTATTTGTTTAGCAGAGTGATGGCTTTTGGAAAAAACTGTCCTGTGTCTAGTTGTTCTGGTGTGCAGTGCTCTGTAGTATCGTTTTGAGGGTAGGAGTTGAAACAGTTTATGTCTGGGATGTGAGGGGCCTGTAAATATTTTCACAGCCCTCTTTTTGACTTGTGCAGTATTCAGGACTTCGACTGAAGGCAGATTGGTACCAATTGTTTTTTCTGCAGTTCTAATTATCCTCTGAAGTCTGTGTCTGTCTTTTGGGTTGCAGAACCAAACCAGACAGTTATAGAGGTGCAGATGACAGACTCAATCATTCCTCTGTAGAACTGTATCAGCAGTTCCTTGGGCAGTTTGATCTTTCTGAGTTGGCACAGAAAGAACATTCTTTGTTGTGCTTTTTTATGACGTTTTTGATGTTAGGTGTGCATTTTAGGTCTTGTGATATGATAGAACCTAGAAATTTAAAGGTCTCTACTGTTGATACTGTGTTATCATCTGTATTATAAGAGGTGCAGTGGATAGACAATGGCTAAAATGATGGTGATAATGACATCTTAGTTCACACAATCTTACACAAGAAGGTGTGTGTGTTTGAGTGAGTGTATGTGAGAGAGAAAGAATGAGAAATACCTTAAAAAAAAAACCTAATGCATACAAATCTCTCGCTGAAGAAAGTTCAAGGGAGGATAGCAATGAGCTGTGGTTATGCAGTACTTAGAACAATAGGTTAGCATTTTAAATTCACACTACATTCCATGTCTTTAAATCTTACCTGGTAGTTGAACCCATCTTCCTTGCAACCTTATGGTCTAATAGTGTAAATTCTATCTAGCTTCCACAGTTATTTTATATATAGAGAGAAAGGATGTCAGGAAGGAGGATTTTTGGAAAACAGAAAATGAATTCTGTTAGTTCAGCAATTACAGTTGTTTTCCAGGGGCTATGGGTAGCAACACTATGCCAG